ATTTATTAGTTGCCGATTTTGTTACCGCATTTTCGGAGAGAGAGATAGAGAGGAGAGAGAGAGAGAAGAGAAGAGAGAGAGAGAGAGAGAGAGAGAGAGAGAACCAGAGAAGGATGTGTATGTTGTCAGAGAGAGAGAGAGAGAGAGAGAGAGAGAGAGAGCAGAAGAGAGAGAGAAAGAGAGAAAGAGAGAGAGAGAGATGACGAGAGAGAGAGAGACGAGAAGAGAAGAAGAGAAGAGGTGTGCGTGTGTGTGTGAGCAGAGGAGAGAGAGGAGAGAGAGAGAGAGAGAGAGAGAGAGGGAGAGAGAGGTGGTGCGTGTTTTGTGTGCTGTGTTGACAGAAGAGAGAGGAGAGAGGGAGAGGTGTCGCATGTGGTGTGTGTGTGTGTGTGTTGTGAGTGGCTGTGTGTTGTGTGTGTGTGTGTGTGTTGTGTGAGAGAGAGAGAGAGAAAGAGAGAGAGAGAGAGAGAAGCAGAGAGAGAGAACGAGAGAGAGGTGTGGCGCTGTTTGTGTTGTGTGCGTGACAGAGAGAGAAGAACCAGAGAGGGAGTGTGTATGTTCAGAAGAGAGAGGTGTGTGCATCGTGTTGTATGTGTGTGTGAAGAGAGAGAGAGAAGCACGAGAGAAAGAGACGAGAGCGCGAGAGAGTGGGGAGAAAAAAGAGAGAGGTGTGCGTTGTGTGTGTGCTGTGTGTGTGTGTGTGTTGTGTGTGTGGTGTGTGGTGTGTGTGTGTGTGTGGTGGTGTGTGTGTGTTGTGTGTGTGGGAGAGAGAGAGGTCGTGCGTGTTTTGTGTTTGTGTGTGTGACAAGAGAGAGAGAGAGAGAGAGAGAGAGAGAAGAGAGACGGAGAGTGGGGGGGGAGAGAAGAACCAACAGAGGGATGTGTGTATGTGTCAGAGAGAGAGGTTGCGCGCGCGGCAGCGGTTGTGTGTGAGAGAGAGAGAGAAACCTGAGAGGGGAGTGTATTAGAGTCTGAGCAGAGAGGAGGTGTGCGCGCGCGCTAGCGCGCGCGCGTGCGTGTGTGTGTGTGTGTGTGTGTGTGTGTGTGTGTGTGTGTGGTGTGAAGAGAGAGAGAGAAGAGAGAGAGAGAGAGAGAGATTAGAGAGGTGTGGCGTGTTTGTGTTGGTGTGTGTGAGCAGAGAGAGAGAGAGCGCGAGAGAACCTAGAGAGGTGTGCGCGCGCTGCGTGTGTGTGTGAGCGAGAGAGAGCGAGAGAGAGGTGTTGGCGCGTGTGTATGTGTGTGTGTGAGAGAGAGAGATGTGTCATGTTTGTGTTTGTGTGTGTGTGTTTGCCGCCGCTCGCGTGTGTGTTGCAGTGTATGTGGTGGTGTGTGTTGTGTGTGGTGTGGTGTGTGAGAAAGCGAGAGAGTGAGAGAGAGAGGTGTGCGTGTTATGTTTGTGTGTGACAGGAGAGAGAGAGAGAGAGAGATGAGAGAGAACGCAGAGGGATCAGGCGGTGCTCAGCTGAAAAAGCCGTTGGACACCACGCGTTTGGCTGTCTGACGTTGGGCCAACGTTGTCAATATGACGTTGGGCCGAACGTGGCACGCTGAGCAAAAAGCGGTTGGGCCAAATCGTGTCAATATTACGTTGGAGCCAAACGTTGGCACGCTGAGCAAAAGACGTTGATTCAACGTTGGCGTCTGGACGTTGGGCGCAACGTTGGCCAATCGGCTGTCTTCAGCTCAGTCGCTAACGTGACTAACGTTGGGCCCAACGTTGCGCCCAACGTTGGGCCCAACGCTTGGCCTCAAACGGTGGGGCGACGTTGGCCGCAAACCGTCAATATTGCGAACGTTTGGCCGGCAACGTCATTATTGCCACACGTTGGCCGCAACTTCAGAAAGCCAACGTTAAGATTCCAACGTCTTTTTGCTCAGCGTGCCAAACCGTTGTCCAAACCGTAATATTGACAAACGTTGCCCAAACCCATTTTTGCTCCGCCGTGCCAACGGTTGGCCCAACGTCATATTGGACAACGTTGGGCCCAACGTCAGACAGCCAACGGTGTCAACGGCTTTTCGGCTGAGCATGCCTGATCCCTCTGGTTTGCTCTCTTCTCTCTCTCTCTCTCTCTCTCTGTCCCACACACAACATGAAACACGCACACCTCTCTCTCTGCACTCTCTCGCTTTTCTCACACACGACACACACACACACACACACACACACACATACATGCACACACACGCGCGCGCGCAAACACACACACACAAACACAAACATGCACACATCTCTCTCTCGTCACACACACACAACACAGCGCGGCACCAGCTCAATCTCTCGCTCTCTCTCGCTCAACACACACACCGCGCAGGCGCACACCTGCTCTGGTTCTGTGCTCGCGCTCTCTTCTCTCTCTGTCACACACCAACACAAATCAACGCAAACACCTCTCTATCTTCTCTCTCTCGATCTCTCTCTCTCTCTCTCTCTCAAC